CCGCGGGCCGCGCCGGGCCGCGCGCGCCGTGCAGAGCGTGGCATTGCGGCGGAGGCAGTGCAGTGCAGATAGAGCCGACGCCCGCGCCGCACCCGTCCAGCAAGTGCCATGGCCCAGGTAGGTGCAAGGTGCAGGCCCGCCGCGCCCCGCCGCCGCGCCCCGCCGCACACCGCCAAGCCCCGCTGGACACATAGCGCGGGCTGGCGCCGTGCCCTAGCCGGCCAGTCTGCTTCCGACTATGCGACATGCGCGCCACCGGATCCGCTCAGCCGCCACCTCGCCGCGTTGACGGCCTCGCGCGCCGCCGCGGCGCCCGGCAACAGGGCGGTGGTCGCCGGGGGCTTCCGCGGCCGTGTCGGTCGTGCGTCACCGCGGCGTCGTGGCCGGCGGCAGCTCCAGGAACACGGCGAGCAGCGAGCAGCACACATCATCCTATCGAGCCCAACCCTAACCTGGTCGCAGAGCTACGCTACTATGGGACAGTTTTGAGGAGTGTCTCCTCAGGGTGTCTCGCTGCGACGCCTCGAGCAGGACCCGGTCGCAGCGTGTGAACAGGCGAAAACAAGCCCCACGTGCTCGCGGTGTACGCGACCCGACAGCAAACACCACTACTGCCACCGTGTGCCTGTATTCACGTGACTTTCCCTCTGTTTACATCTTGCTCTTCCGCGCAAGGCTTTCTCTTCGTCTCCTGTTTTTTCCTCTCTCTCTCCTTTTTTGTCTCTCACGTGTGTGTGTGTGTGTGTGTGTGTGTGTGTGTGTTTCTCACACCGAGAGCACCCTGCTTGATTAACCGGCCGCGGGCGGCTGTTGCTGTTGTCGCGTCGCTCCGAGGTGTCTGACGTGAGCCGCGTGCCTCAACCCCGACCTGGATACGGGGAGCCTCCCTGCTCCCTGCGCACCGAGCCCGACCCCCTTCTTCCGCCTGCGACAGCAAGGCAAACAGAGGGAGAGAGAGAGCAACACCCAAAACACACGCGCGTACTATTCACAAACAACCTAAATTTGAAAACACACACACTCTTATTTGCTTTGCCTCTCGATGGTGGCGGGGGGGGGGGGACGACAAGGTGGTCGGACACAGGAAGGGATTAACGGGTTGGAGCGTCAGAGGATCCGCCTCGTCAGATTAGACGGTGCATCCTTCACTTTCTGCCGCAGGTCCGCGACGTCATCCTGATCGCGGCCGCGGCGCTGCTTGCCCTGGCCGCACCCTCGGATCAGCAGTCGGTATTTACCGGCCACCCACCCGAGCCGCCCCCCGCCGCAACCACTGCTGCTGCCCCTGCCGCTGTTTGTCGGGTGTGCCACTGCACTGCGACTGCACTGGACTGCGCTGCCGTCGACCTCGCGCGCCTGTCGGCTCTCGGCTGGACGGAGTCTTGGGGGCTGAGGGAGGCCCTGCTTGACGGGACCGAGGACGGCAGCGGGTCGCCGCCGCCGCCGCCCGCCCTCTTGGCTGCACTGCCACCCATGCCGGGGCTGGAGTCAGTGAGCCTCCGGTACAGGGGCCTGGGTGGCATCGCCTCCAAGGCATTCGCCGGCCTGCCGGACCTCAAGATGCTCAGCCTCGCGCACAACCGGCTCACGGGTAAGTCGGACGGCATCGCGACGACGTGGAGATTACTGCTGATACCCGTTGTCGGCAGATACACGCTTCCTGGAAGACTCCATGGCAGAGGAGGCCGCAGGAGGCACTCAATTTTACCTCATTCTTGTAGCTGACGCGGTGCGCGCCGACGCCCTTAGGGGCGCGTGGAACGCGGACAGCTACGAGCCGCTTGGCGTGGAGGAGCTCGACCTCAGCCACAACCAGCTGCACTCGCTGCCTCTGCGCGCCCTGGAGCACCTGCCGCGCCTCAGGACGCTGCGCCTGGACCACAACCCCCTGCGCGTCCTGGACCGCAGCACGCAGGCTGCGCTCGCCAAGGCCACCGCCCTCAAGGTAAGGTGGCCGTCGTCCCTGTGCAGACTCGAGGTGGGGCCCGTCGAGGTTCACAGACGACTACAATATAACGATTGTGCTGTGATTGCAGGAGCTGAGCCTGTCCGGTTGCGGCCTCACCGGGCTGCCGGGGGACTTGTCGTCCACGCTGCCGCGCGGCCTCGTCCACCTGGACCTGTCCGCCAACGCGCTAACAGTCGTGCCCGGTGGCCTGCCGGCCTCGCTACGGCGCCTGGTGCTCGACGCCAACCCTATCCGGACGCTGCCCGCGGGCGACACCCTCATCGCGCCCTTCGCGCACCTCGTCAACCTGGAGGAGCTGTCCGTCTCCTACATGCCCATCCTGGAGGACGTCTCGGCGGGCGCCTTCCGCGGCCTGCCGCAGCTGCGCGTGCTGAGCTGCTCGCACAACCCCGTCCTTCGCAGGGTGGACGCCGCCGCCCTCAGCCACCTTGGCCCCAGCTGGAAGCTCAGAGAGGTACGGCGAGTGAGCTGGCGCGCTCTGACGGGGGGTGGTTGCACCGCGCCGCGGCAGCGCGGGCCTTCCCACCGCGGCCGCTAGAGGGCGATACCAGTGAGGTAGCTGCGCGTAGTCGCGCGAGGCCGCGAGTACAGGCCGCAGAGAAAGGATTTCGGGGTTCCGTCCCTCTGGAGGAGCCGCTTCTTCTACTCTCTAACTCCTCTGTCCTTCCATAGGTCTGGTCTAACCGGGGTCCAAAATGGATGTTTCACTTTGCTTTTATTTTCAAGTCGTCATGCCCGTCTGTTTGTAGGTGAGCTTGCGCAACAACAGTCTGAGCTGGCTGCCGCCGCGGCTGCTCGCGTGGAGCGGCCTCACCTTCCTGGACCTGGCCGACAACCCCTGGGACTGCTCGTGCAACTTCTCGCTGTGGGCGAGCGCCGTGCTGCGCCCTGTCAACCTCAACGAGCGCGACCAGGTGCGGTGCTCGAGCCCCGAGGCGCTCGTCGGCAGCCCGGTCCTCAACCTGACGGCGGCCGCCTGCTTCCCGGAGGCCGCCTACGCCCGGCGGCCGTCGCTGTTCGCCAACGCCCTGCTGCTCCTGCTGACCGTCACCCTCGTGGCCTCGCTCGTGCTGCTGGCGCGCCGCGTCCTGCCCGGGCACGCGTTCGCCGGGCCGCTCGCGCCGCTCGTGGGTCGCGCCGCCCGTCAGCTGCCGCGCGCGGGCAGCGTGGACAGCCTCAAGCACCCGCTGTACATGGTGGCGCCCAGCGAGGACGAGCCGCCGGCGCCCCCGGAGCGGAGGGGCGACCTGTGAGCCGCAGCGTCGGAGACCGCGTGGACCACCATTCCGTGGCCACGTATGCCAAGCAAAACCAGAAAGACGCCTTTACCAAAGAACGAAATTAGCCGCGTTAGTCGAGAGTAGGACTATTGCCAAAAATGAAACCAACCAAATCAACGGCCCCAACGTTTATTTTAAAAGAAAAACATATATATTTTCACGTGATATAATATAATTTATCGTCTAGCTTGTACAAATAATTAATTAGTGATACGTAATAATAAACCTCATAGTCAACTGCTGACTGATCTCAATAAGCAGGATGTGTGCTTATTTTCTATGCCAAAGGTTAAAGCTTAAATAATCAGTTTTACACGAAACACAAAATATCCTGTTCCTCCGGTCTGGGGCACTTATGCCAGTCGATCCGCGGCGGAACAGATCACAGTGGAAAAGGGAGGAGGGGCGG